ATATGCGGGTGTATTTTTGTGTTTCAAGCCAGGCAAACGCTTGCGTCACTGCCATCACCTCCATCGTCATGCTGCTGGTTGTCATGGAGAAGGCGCCGTTGGCTTCTTTGACTGTTCTGCCCGCTGAGCGTGCTGTAAATGCCCATGCGCTTCTTCTTTGGCGTATAACGGATCCGTCTGTATAGATTAGTGCATCTGCTTCGTCTGAATTTTCACCGATGGTTCTGCCCGCTGAGCGTGCTGTAAATGCCCATGCGCTTCTTCTTTGGCGTATAACGGATCCGTCTGTATAGATTAGTGCATCTGCTTCGTCTAAATTTTCACCGATGAGAGCGTTGACCTCTGCATTAACAGCAACAGAATTCTCTTCTCTACATCGCCTGTTGAGTGTGACAATACAGGAAAATGTACAAATAAACGCCTGAGGCACAGGTATCCATTCTGCACCAGGTATGATGTCGGTTAGGCTGCATATTTGCCTAATAACATCTTCTGCCCGACCTAGCCACGATTTTCCCCTCTTCAGTCTGTCGCCCTTTTCACTAAAAAGCGCTTGATGCAGTGGGTGTTTCTTATCAGCACATATTTTGAGGTATGCCCGAGCCCTCCACATCCTGATCCTTTGGTTCATTGTTGGAAAGTCAAGTAGATACCTCATTGCTCCACAGGATGTGTCTCTTGTACATCCCAAAATAATACGCATGGCTTCATTTTTTGCACCTTCTCGAGTCGTTCAATCTGGGTAGCACTGACAGTGAGGATGGCCAGAGCGTATTTCAATGGGGGAAAGGACCAGACTGTAGAATAGAAGCACCAGCAGTCTTTGCTCGATATTGGAAGCAGCCATAATCCTCATTGCAGATAGACCTTTGCGTGCTTTTGTTATCACATGGTCAACGTGTTCCCTGAATGACAAGCTGCGATTGAACCTCACCCCGAGAAACGTCATAACGTTGGTTCTGATCAATACATAATCACGCATTTTCACTTCTGGTAAGTCCGACTTGACAATGTGATTGTTCAAAGAGAACCATGACACTGATGCCTTCGAGGGATTGACATAGGCATTGGAACCATCACACCAGGCGGCAATTCGATCAAGTTCTTTGTGCATTGTGCTGGCGATCTCCTGTCTATCACGCCCTCGTCGATAAATAAAACTGTAATGGCAGCTACAGAAAGAAATAATCAGAAGTTCTGATTGGCACGACTTTTTATTTTAGTTAACAGTTGAAAAATAAATTACATATTCAACTAAAAGAGAGCATTTTATATTTACAAATGGTTTTTAATTCCTCTTTATAAAAAGGAAAGAAAAAACACAAACCATCAAAACAAAAACACATTAGACAAACTGCAGAAATGTAACTACAGCGATTTATGTTTTAAAAATCACAGCCTTCACACAGTAAATAAAGTACAATAGACAAATTATTACATGCAAAACATACAATTGACAAGAACACATTTTTGTAGGTAGGTAATTACAGATTCCACTACACTCTGGGAACTTCTACAAGTGCTTTGGTCATTCATAACAGTTGATGAATAGTATAAGTTGTGGATACGCATTATAAGTGCTACAGCTCAGTAGTTGCATACTTACTTGACCAGGCACCTCATGTTTCTGCTGAAAATTAAATATAATTCCAGAATACAATTTTTTACTTGTACAGATTTCACCAAAATGCATTTAACAACAAGAAACATTATATTTCTTCCCTCTTTGTCCTAAAAATGATACATTGTGTTCAATGAATCTACATTATTTCTGCCATTTGAAGTACATGGAAAAAGATATTTCCAATCTACAAGAGATTTTCATGGGCGCTGTATCCTTACCAGAGTTTTCAGTTTTAATACAAGAAGAAGCAACAGAATTTGCCAAAAGAGAAAAGTCTAATCTGGCCCACAAGAGTAATCATACAGGACAAACTGTAGGGAACTGAAGACCTCTGGAAGTTCACCCTGTCCTACATCCGTTCCAGAATATGTGCACAGTAGACAGCTGAAACAAATTAATTTGATGTCTAAAGCAGGTATCATATCCCTAAATCAGTAGGTCCCAATTATCCAAGACCTATAGTAAAAGTAAAGTCAGGAGATGTGAACCAGCGTCATTGCACACGGTTATAAACCATAAGTGCTCTGCCACCAGTACGGACAGCTGATAAGTATTGTCCGTCTGTGTCGCCGTTCACACGTAACTCTGTAGCTATAGCGATGTTCCTCCATTTACCCCAGAGTATCACTCTGGTACCCATTTCCTAGAGCCTGGGTGAACCACGAGAGCCGCCTGGTTTCGAACACCGACCGTGGGCTGCGAGTCGCAGCTGGATTTGAAAGCGAGCTTCTAATCGAGCCCCCTTTAAGACCTATGGACACCAAGATAATGCCTACAGATGAAACTATAATGGAGAAAGAAATATATGTGAATGAGGAAAGATTGGAGGTTGTGGAAAATTTTGAATAACTTGGGTCATTACCAACAATGGTCATCACATAGTTGAAGAAATTAAATGACGACTATCAAGTGTTCTTCAAAGATTAAAACAACTGAATAAATTATGGAGTGGGATAGACAAAACTAAAACAATTAGATTTCTAAGAGCATGCATCTTTCCCACTGCAACATATGCCTGTGAGAACTGGACACTTACTAAACAAGCTGAACAGCACATAAATACCTTTGGATACAAATGTTATAGAAGGGTTCTAAGAATGTCATGGGTAAAGAAAAGAATAAATACATCTATACTTTAAGAACTTAATATTGAAGAAGGTTGGCTATTAAAGGCGATAAAACACAGAATACTGAAATATTTTAGTCTCCTGAAACATCACAAAAGTTTAGAGATAGAAAAATAATGGAGGGGTATATGCCTGAGGAAGGGGGGGGGGGGGGGGGGGGGGTTGTGACATATAGTTTAGCATTTAGGAGAGGTGAAATGGTAAAGGTATGAAACTAAGATACTCTGATTAGAAATATAGGCAGACACAATATCCCCAAGCCAAAGGATTTGAAAAGTAGACAGAACACCATAATTCAAAGTCAGTCTGATTTCAGACATATCTCTGAGACACTATAATTTGAAACACAGGTAGACGCTATGTTTCTTAACAACTTCAACTGAATCACATAAATATGTCCAATAAACAAACAAGAAAAAGTTGAGTTGAGATCACAGCACTCAGGGTATTCCCATAAGCTCTCCATCCTCAGCAGCCAGCGCAGAGTTCCAATACCAATGACAAACAAGAAAAGGTAATGCAATAACCTATTATCCCACTTAAACCATTAACTACCGATTTAAAATACCAGCTATGGTAAATTAGATTTACAAACACTTTTAAAATTAGTGGGTTACTTTAGTTGATGTAGTCTCTAAACATTTTCTTCCTATCAACACTATACTCTCCATTGTCATCATCTTTTTCGTCATTATCTACTTCATCTTCAGGCACCCAGTCCAAAGCAGAAATCAGTGATCACTCTTCAAACCTTTCCGTCATCTGATATTTAGACTAATTTGTTCACATCATTTGCTGCTCTGCTGTTTGAGCTTTCTCTCTCTCTCTCTCTCTCTCTTTCTCTCTTTGAATGGTAAATTATTCACTTTTATTGTCACTGTTCATATACCCCATAAATTTCATCTGCCTTTCCTTTATAGTTTCGATGACCAATCTAGTAACGCCTGCAGCTGATGATATCCCAAGATCTGTTTTCATCTCTGTCCATGATATTTACAACATTTTTTCCAAAAACCTCACGCTAGCATCTTCAACATCCAATTTCTGATTGCCCACACTTACACAGAAGACCATGCCATAGTTTTAGGTAAGTTGATGCCCGGCTCTCTAGCGTAGTTGACTAAACTGGATTGCGCGATGAGCGGGTGACGAACTCCATGTGGTCCGGGTTCACTCCCGGGGGTAGGCAGAAAAACCACATTTCTCCCAGATTTAAGGCATTTACAATGGAATCAAGGCCGAAAGGTTGCGATATCCATAATACCGAGCCCAAAGGTTAACAACTCATGGCTTCTGGATACTAAAACAAACAAGTAAGTTGATTCATCAGTGTATTAGTCGTGGTTCTAACTTCAGCCAAATGCCACCCCCCCCCCCCCTCTTCCCCCCCCCCCCCCCCCCCCCCACAAACACTTCATTAGTATTCGTACTAGTAGGCAATATTTGGGTTTTTCTTGATAATGCTCATTCTAGTAAAAGTCTTTCTTTGCATATGGCATTTCATGAGCAACAGAAACTTAACTGAAATATCAGACAAGGGAAGCAATGCAGAGTCATGATTGTCAATGCTGCTGCCCTACAACTGGTCCTTGAAGAGTCTTTACATAAAGGATTTAACAGCGGTGGAATTTTATCCAAACACTTTAAAAACTAACTTTTCTTAGAGATTAAAAAAGTCTTTACAGTAAGGATTTAACAGCAGCAGAATTATATCGTTTCAAAAACTAACTTATCTCAGAGATTAAATAAGTCTTTACATTAAAGATTGTTCAGCTGTGGAATTTTATCCACACACCTCAAAAATTAACTTATCTTAGAGATCAAGTAAGTCTTTACATGAAGGATTTAACAGCAGCTGAATTCTATTCAAACGCTTCAAAAACTTACACTTCAAAAACTAACTTAACTTACGCTTCAAAAACTAACTTAACTTAAGCTTCAAAAACTAACTTAACTTACACTTCAAAAACTAACTTAACTTACACTTCAAAAACTAACTTAACTTACACTTCAAAAACTAACTTAACTTACACTTCAAAAACTAACTTAACTTACACTTCAAAAACTAACTTAACTTACACTTCAAAAACTAACTTATCTCACAAATGTAAAAAGTCTTTACATGAAGGATTTAACAGCAGCTCCAAATACTTCAAATACTCGCTTCTCTCAGAGATTAAAAAAAGTCTTTACATTAAGGATTTAACAGCAGCGGAATTCTATCCAAACACTTCAAAAACTAACCTAAATCAACTGGATCCCCTGAGAAACAATGAAAGCACTGAGACAGTAATCAGCCCTGTAAATGCAACAGCCGAGACCCATCTATTTTTCTGGAACTCTGCTTGAAGCTTATCCTCCGTCTTCTGTAAAATCTTCTCTAACTCTGGGCCCACATAAACCACATGATCGTTGATATTAGAAGCTTGATCAATGCTAAGCAGTTTCTGAATCTCACTTAAACTTTTCATAAGAGCCTCTGACTGATTCTGCAGAGCTGCAAGCAGAGTTTCTGTATGCTGGGTAAAATCTGAATGATTTACAAAAAGAGGATCTATAAGTCTGATCTGGCCAACATCACCATCATCTTCCAAGTTTTTAACGCTGGAAACAAATTCTTCAATTTTTGATTGTTGAGCAAAGACAGCCTGTACCATCTTATCAGCCAGAGCTTTGTACTGCGCAGTATTCTCACCAGATTCTGTGACAATTGCACGCAGCTCTTTCATCCTTTTATAATTATTAAAAGTGGAACCAAGGATTCCAATTATAGCACCAATAACGGACCCTATAATGGACCAATATTTTGTCTTCTCCGCTCTGGCTCGCTCTTTCTCATGGCTCTCTCGTAAAGCAGCACTAAGTAGGCCGAAGAAGTCTCGCTCAGCTTTATCCAACGCTTTGATTTTGTTAGTCATTTCTTTTTCCAGCAGCAGGGCTTCGTGCTCTTTCTTCACCAGATCAATGTAGCGAGTGTCAGTTCTGCTGGTTTTTTCCAGTTCTGCCCCCACAGCTCGGACTTCTGCTTGCACTGACAGAAGTTCTTGTTGCATGGCCCGTCTGTCTTCTTGCACTTGAAGAAACTTCTGCTCTGCCTGTGTACCAAAAAGAACAGAAATCCATCACTGCTGTTATTATTGAGGTGAAGTGGCTTAGTGTTAAGAAAGAGGATGACAAGAGAGAAGACACAGTAGGTTATGACAAGTCTATATTAACTCATTCAGTCCCAGTCAACTCAACGTGCCTTTATTGATTACTCCATATGTAAAATGTCTCTTGGGGGCTGCGTTAGCGAAGTCGATAGGAAACTCGCTTTCAAATCCAGCGGCGACTCGCTGCAGCCACGGTCGGTGTTTAAAACCGGGCAGTTCCCGGGGTTCACCCAGCCTCTAGGAAATTGGTACCAGAGTTAACACTCTGAGATAAATGGAGGAACGACGCTGTAGCTACAGAGTTACGTGCAGACGGCGACATGGGCGGACAGTTTCTTATCAGCTGTCCGTACTGGTGGCAGAGCACTTATGGTTTATAACCGTACGCAATGACGCTGGTTCACATCTCCCGATCTTTACCTGAAATGTCTCTTCTAAACTCTGTGCTCCCCAAGTAGCTGTTATAATAACCTCTGGTAACCTAAATGTTACTTTAACACTTCTGGTGAAAAACTGTGACTAATTAAACCCATCTGGGTCTAAACATCTATTACTGAGTATCCTTTACAGGACGTTTGCAGAACCAACCCCAACAGCCCCTGGCTGTTGTGTGGTTTTTTCTAGGCAAATTTATGTCCAGTAGTTTTCCATTGCTTTCTGGACGTCAGCTTTCTTGATACCACTGTCGAAACCAATGCAAGGCGCATAACCCGCAGCTGGAATCAAATCCGGCATCCCGGCATTAGGAAGCGTTCGCATCGACTTAGCCACAGAGCCGACCTATTACTGTATGTAATAAATACTTAGGAATCAACGAGTTAAGTGATACTTGCCCGGGACTGAAAGAGTTACACAGAAAATTGGGAGAGGGAAAGAGAGAAGACACTGTGGGTTCTGTGAATTCTGTGGTAGACAGAGATACCACTGCTGGTTAGGCCAAATCAGTATTAGACAAATTATAACTGGCCGAGAGGATAATGTTTTAGATAAAGGAAGCCATGCTGATGTCACAGGGGCCAGGAAAATGTTGTGTTAGGATGGCAGATGTATATTTTATATACCAGTGAGCATAAGAAAAAAGAGCTCAGTGACATCAGAAGGGGAGGGAGGGAGAGGGAGATGAGAGAGAGAAAGAGAGAGATGAGGGAGAGAAAGAGAGAGAGTGAGTGAGAGAGAGAGAGAGAGAGAGAGAGAGAGAGAGAGAGAGAGAGAGAGAGAGAGAGAGAGAGAGTACTGATTACTTATTTAATAACTGACATCATAGCACACCGGGCATACCCATAGATGCTCTGCCTCCCGCAACAAATGTCTGAAGGTGAAGACGCTAACTTTTCCCGTAGCACACTGATTATACACACATTATTCTCTTCCTCTTATTCGTCCTTCCTTGCCGGATCCACACTTAATTTCTCGTACACATTCTTGCATGTTACCTCAACTAATCTTGTGTCTTCTGTCAGCAGTCATTTATATATGGTCTTCAAAATATCTCCCTTGTCCAAAACGAGTGTTCCCGTAGCTTTCACTTTTGTAGCCAGAACATTCGCTCTTTCATTCCCTCGCACAATTGCCTATCCAGGAGAGTATATCCACGTGATTCCCTGCAATGTTGGCATACTGATGCATGTTATCCACTCATGCCACATTAGTCCACTTTGAACCATTCCGCAATGCTGACTGAGAATCAGAAACAATAATTCCTCTGGTAACTTTGTTTTCTGTTTTCTAATTCAGAGCTGCAATGATTTCCTCCACTTCCATCCTCGTGCTTGACACTGTAGATAAAAAGTCTCCATTTTCTTCTGCCACAATTTTTCCCTTCATTCTAGCTGAAAATCCCCAGCCAGATCTTACACCTAAACAGAACCATCAGTGTACACTACTACATCATCTAGCCCAGCCTTTCCATCTATTAGTTTTGTACCTCTAATTCTGCCATACCGTTACACATCTCTACATTCTCTTCTTAACCTGATAATGACCTGATGGAACTGCTGTTGTGGGTGTTCGTGTCGATCCATTCCTGCTCCCTGTGTATTTGCGTGACCGAGGTCACTATCTCGATGGTATCTTCCGCTAGTGCCATCCATGACTTGCCTTTTTTCAACCGGCCTCCTCTTAAATCATTCAGATTAGCATGCAGCGGATGCCTGTCACCATTGGTAATTCACACATAGGCCTTGGCTTGCCCCAGTGACAGTCTACACCATGTCAGCCCAAACATATACCTCATTGTTCTCATTGTTCTTTTAAGTAGGAGAGGGCCAGTATCCTTCTTGGACAAAAGATATGCTACCACCTCTGCTTTTGTGCAGCCTCCATGGTGGACCAAAGAAGTACAAGAGACATGGAGAGCAAAGCGAGCATCAGTTTAACAATTACAGAATGTACGAAAGGAACCTCACAGGTTACAAGTGGATGCAGAGAAGCTAGAAGAAGTTAGAAAAGAAAAAGTAGATGAGTTCAAGCGTTGTGTAGCAGATGCAAAAAATGCCTTATGGAACATTTTATGAGCGAAATTAGCGGGGATAATCACTAGGTAGGTTTTGAAAACTGCACAGACAGATGCAAGGAAGGATTGGCCTATCACAACAGGGCTTATATAAACTGATAATGGAATGACAACAGACAAAGAGAAAGGAGAAGCAATTTTTCAGATTTATAGCCCAAACCAATCACAATGACAGGAAGCTTAGAAATAATCTGTCTAATACTATAAATGATAATTTTTTTAAAGGATATTATTAGGGTGGAGGACATAAGCAAAAGACACTGCACCGGAGCCAGACGGAGTGAGGTATGCCCACACAAAGAGTATAAGTAATGAAGACTTCAGATTGATGGCATTTCACTTCAACCAGAGTATAAGAACAGCAACAGTACCCCAGGACTGGGTACACAGCTACCTGAATCCCCTTCCAAAACCAGGCAAAGATCATTCCAGACTCATCGATTTCAGGATTATCATTATAATAAGCCTTCTGCATGCTTTAATTATGGGTAGTTATTGAACATAGTTTTTTTGTAAGCTTCTAAAAGTGCTTAATACTGTGAACTGTTCATTGACCACCCTCTTTTAGGTCCATACAGTCAGTTGACCCACTATGACGTTGACAGGGAAGAAATACAGAAACGTTTTTAATTAAATCAGACTATCTGACGCAAAACAAGAAAAGGCCATTTTGTGACTTTTTGTCCAATACGTTACTGCAGATACCATCAACAACAGCAGTCTTTCATATTTGATATTGGAATTATATAGAATATATATATATATTACACACACACACACACATATATATATATATATATATATATATATATATAATGGCATCCGTCAGTCCCGGGGGACTATAGAGATGTGCCGCTGGCTTTGGGAACAGCATCTGCTGTGACTGTAAAATCCGATGCGGGAATGGCAGCCTTTGCCACACAGGATACACACAAAAGCAGATACTCCCTTGTTGTGAGGCAGTTTTACTCTCCGGTGTCTCCTCTCTATAGCTCGTTGTGTTCGGTTTCTTTCAAAATGTGACAGTCCGTCTTTCACTATCTGTCTCCATAGTAGTCTATCTGCATATTACATATATATATATATATATATATATATATATATATATATATATATATATATATATATATATATATATATATATATATATATATATATATATATATATATATATATATATATTATATATATATTATATAAAAATTAATTGTTAAGACCAGTGAATTTAATTATAATAAGAACAACCTCCTCCTCCCACATTTTGCATTAATTTTTTTATTTAATTTACTGGGGGAGATGTTAAGGGGTCTGAACCCCATATCCATTTTTAAAGAGGAGGGTGGGGGTGGGGGCTAAGAGCTCATCTCCCACCCACGCCCCACCAAGCCAAGTGTATTTTCTTAATTTTGGGGGCCCTGCATTTTAGGCTTACAAAGTTTATTAAATAACTGGGGAAAAAAATTAAACAAATTTCCTTCCTTTCAGCTCAACATGGAAAAGAAAACAGCTTCTGATTAGAGAGCATATCTGTCATACTTTGAGCCTGATTTAAAAAAAAAAAAAGCAAGCTATATAGACAAATTTTACTGCAGAACTGAATTTTAAAATAATTTTGAATATTTCTGTAACATTTGTTTTAACCAGGTAAAAGAGACAGAAACATCACATTTTTTGGTCACATCGTGACAGTGGAGGAGACTCCTGTACACCTAATACATGCTGCAACTGATGTTTTTGACATTAACATGGAGAAGTCTGCATTAGCCCATCTTAACCTTTCTTTTAAAGATTATAATCCAGTAGCATAAAACTTAGCATCTGCTTTTATTAAAACTCTGAAACAGCAATTTAAATCATACACAGAGGGAGCCTTGTCTAATCCATCTGAAGATTTGATAGCAAGGGCATCTTTCGCCCCAGTCTAAAATATGGGGGCTGAAAGAAAGGTGGCAATGTTGGATGTAGCACTGGAAAGAGCCTCAAATGCCTCCACTAGAGATGACTTCCAGAAGTTTCTGGTCATGTTTGCAATTAGTCATGGGTCAAAGGTGAAGCATTAAGAGGCTGAGCAGCAGAATCAAAGACGGCGAAAGGGGTTGGACAAGAAACGTAGGGATGGATATGAAAAATGGCTATCCTCTGAATAACGGTCCCAAATTATCGAGGCTAAGAAAATACCCTAACAGGGCCTCAGTCATATGTAAATTGCGGACCTCTTTCCAGCAACTATACTGCATACCGCGGAAAAGCTTCTGCAGAGTTAAACTCACCGCCGAGAGTTTCCCATGTGCTGCTACGCCCAGCAAGGAGGTAGGGGCTCAACTAGATGGCTGGGACTCACGAGCAGCAGCTACCGCATCTCATGCAGCTTCCTCATTTAATTTGCTCATGAGTCCCAGCCATCTAGTTTAGCCCCCTCCACGGATACTCCCGGCGGTGGCGGTATGGGCTATCCTCCTAATAACGGCCACAAAAAGCAGGTTTTCAGGCACTATTTGCAACTTCTGTGCAACAGTTTTCAGATATAAAGGCGTCAATTATTGGTAAAGAGTTGATTTCATTTTCCCTTATTTTTTGTTCCTTATTATTTTCGAGTACAAGTTTTTGAATGTTTACAACACATGACCTAATGAGGCCATGTCAGGGTGTTTTTTTGGCCGCCATAATATATGGCCATTATTTTGAGATAGCCAGTCCGCAATTTACATATTACTTAGGCACTGTTAGGGTATTGGCTATCCTCCAAATAACGGTCCAAAATTATCGAGGCTGAAAATACACCCTAACAGAGCCCCAGTCACATGTAAATTGAGGACCTCTTTCCGGCGACTACACAGCATAAGCAAGGCACGGAGTGGGGCTAAACCTGATGGCTGGGACTCACGAGCAGCAGCTACTGCATCCCCCTCCATTTTATTTGCTCGTGAGTCCCAGCCATCTAGTCAGTATGCTGTGTAGTCATCGGAAAGAGGTCCGCAATTTACATGTGACTGCAGAAAGGCTCTGTTAGAGTATATTTTTGGCCTCGATAATTTTAAACCGTTATTCGGGGATTTCCTTAGCCTCGATAATTAATAATTGGGACAGTAGCGGCGCGGAGACGCTCTCAGCGGTGGCGGTACAGTCGCTGGAAAGAGGTCCGCAACTTACATATGACTGAGGCCCTGTTAGGGTATTTTCTTAGCCTTGATAATTTCGGACCGTTATTCGGAGGATAGCTTGAAAAAACAATTAAATATTAGACTGAGCTAAAGTGGCTAAAGTGTGACAGAGAGACTCGTTGCAAGCGGCATGGAGCGAGATTAACGTGTTAATAGCACTCTGAGATAGATTGTACTTGCAGCAGAGCGTAGAGACCCATACTCACATTCACAACTTTTTCCTGTGCAAGTTTTACTTCTGTTAAACCAACCACATCTTCGTACAGTTGCATCATACGACCGAGCCGGTTTTGGCCAATGGAACTAAGAGAGGTTGTCATTGTCAACATAGAATTATTTTTCGGTGCACCACTTCCTGCTGTATCACTAGCGCTGGACAAACATCTGCAACTTCTTTTTATTCGATTCGTATGCAGGATTCGCGACAAAACACGCTGTCGGTGCAGGAATTCCGGAATTATTTTGACGGACATATTATAGTAGGAGCATATAACTATGGAGGCCGCCATTTAACCAACAGCAGGAACTCTCTTGTCAAAGAAGAGCGAAGGCTCCTTCCTAATTCCTATATCCCATGCTCGTCTTGCCTATATCGTGGTTCTTGAATTTAAAGAAAACAAACACAATGTCCACAGACAAAACCTGGCTGTCACCCTAAAAAAAAAAAATAAACGAGGAAGAGGCTGAAAATGTCACAAACCTTGAATATCTAGAATCTATAACAAACAGCAACAGAGACTGTTAAACAATACAAAGATTAAAAAGCATTAAAAGTCTATGGTTAAGACACCAGCAAGGAAATAGAAGTAAAAGTTTTGAAAGGATGCCTCTTCCCCTGTAGCAACACACGGAATTGAGCGTCGACTATCTCACAGACCTTGGAGAAAATAGATATTTGAGCAGTAAATGTTACAGAAAGGTTGTCAGAATACCATGGACACAAAAAAATAGTGAAGGATTTGGTATTTTGGGCCAGACCTATATTTTATAGACCAAACGGCATTTGGTGGGTGATGTGGGCAGCATCACGCCGGCCGTCTTTACTTCCCAGGATTGCACCTGGTGCCCACTCAAGACCTGGGAGCCAAAGTCATTTTTGAAAAAAAGTCCGGCCCTGTTAAGAACCGAACCCATGAACTTCCGATCCGCAGGCGAGCCTCTAGCCGCATCAAGCGTCACGGCGAATTGTGGGGGGGGGGGGGGGGGGGGGGGGAATAGCAGAAGGCGTGGTAGCAGGAGAGAGGAGCAGTAGCCGACCAATACGACAGGATATAAGTGTGCTTGGATACGAAGTAATCAAGTAACAGAAAGTGTATTGATCGGCACTCATAGAAAGATAGAACACACTAGACAACATAAAAATCGAAAGCTATAGTTACCTTGCTGGGAATTGAACCTGCCACCTCCAGACGGCGTCTGCGCCTCGCCATGGATACAAGTGCACTAAGAACATGGTCAACTAGGCACCCCCCCCCCAAAAAAAAGGTTTCTTATTGGCCATGTCTATCGTACAGCTTGAAACCCACAACTATGGAATACGAACAGAATTCATTTCAAACCATTGAAATGGCACCATAGGTTACAGAAATTTATAATAACGAAGCATATGTCGAATAACAATCACAGTTGGATACGAAGTGCACTAGAGCTGTCAAGAGACCGGGTTTCTTTCAGACAGAGCGGGATGTGAGCGACGTCATGCAAAGGACCTGGTATATATATACTGATGATCTTGCCTATAAATAGAATGAATGCACTCCTTACCCACACAGTCCGTTAACGTCCTAGTCTGTCTGGTCTTCAGGTTACTTTCTAATCGTCGGGGGACCCAGTACATGTATAACGTTATAGTTGACCAGGGTTTGTGGGATTTGTACCTGAGCGATTCCCTGTACATGTATGTATGTATGTATGTGTATGCATGTATATACGTATTTAAGAGAGTGAATGTGTGTGGCTCGTGCATGTATGCATTTACCATCCATGCTTTGGTGTCCCCCCCCCCCCCCTAAAATTCATATTATTATATGAACATAACATGCTTTATTGATAAAATACAATTTTCTGCTTGAAAGATAAATATTTGTAAGGGCCGAATGTAAGACGGGCCTGCGTGCCCGATTTGTGACCCTTCGAAAATAAAGTTCCTTCATCTGAATACTGTATTGAAGTGACACATTGCCTCAGCGGGTGTTGATCTCTCAACCACATAGGGCTGTAGGTTACATATGGCTGGTGTGGCTGTTACAGGTGCCATAATTATAACTGCTTTTGAGATTGAACTGGTTATCTGCGATTGCTCTTTTGACTGCATTCTAGATTTTTTTATTATCTCAGGGTGTCAGACGTTTAGGTAGCAGCTCGGAGGGAAAACCGGTCAGTTCATACTTTGAAGCTCTCCTGGTTACACGTTAGCTCAGTGTTTCTCAACCGTTTGTGTGCCTCACCTCAGCCTGTCTAAAATTCTGATACCCCCGCACCCATCCTGGACGAGTCTTTTTTTCGAATCGCCGCCTATGGGGCGGGGGTGCCACCTGTAGAAAAGATTATTGAGACACTGAGCCCCTCCGCGTTTTCCTGGCTCCACTTATTAAGAACAAAGAATAGACCTAGTGCCCCCCCCCCCCCCCCACCGTAGGAAGCGACTTATTAGAGGTGTTTCCTTCAAAGTAGACGGAGTGCATCTGCCTGAGAGGCAAGGAACCAACAGTCTGCAGACAAATAAGCCAAGTCTGTAAAACAGCTCTTTTTCTTCTTTTTTCGTCTCACCGATACCAGGTTGTAGCCCATTGTCGAGGTTTTCTGTATTTGTCTTGCACCTCTCGGGTGGTTTTTGCAGGTTCCAGCTTCACCATCGATCCATTTCTTTCTTGGTCTTCCTCCCAGATGTTCCGCTGTAAAAGGTCTAACATGAAGTTTGGTCTGGCTGCATTCACACTAGATGGCTGAACCATTTCATTCTTTGTCAATATAATCCTGACATGGTCTTACTTCAAATTTCTCTCTAATGCTGGTATTCATAACCCTGTCTTGTCTATAGTGTTGTTAGCAACTTTGCGGAGACGATGCATTTCACATTTAGTTATTTACTGTTCTAGTGTCCTATCCACTGTCCATGTAAAACTGATGTGCACGCAAAATTCAAGTTATGGATCAAGAACAATCAGAACTTTCCACCAGAGTTTACAGCAGGTGAACGCTCAGAAGAAAAACACAGAGAAAATGTGAAAAGATCATGCTCTGGCAAAGAACAGAGTGTATGATGTGAGCTGACTGAAGCCTTTCCTCTTGTGGGGTAGAGAGACAGGAAGATGTCCTGTTCCCCCCCTGACAGGATAGCAATATTTATCACAAACATGCACAAGAGTTTGTCAAGCAGCAAGTCCATAATATGCATGCTGGCTATGTACCCACACCATCACATCAGTCAGTCAGTTTTAACCTTGCAGCCAACGGGTCACCCCTATACTTGGTCCACTTTTGTACCAGTAAAAACCACACACAATACCCTACACAGCCTTTTTACACCAAAAGGAACTGTCTCAGAACCCTCGCATTCTACACAAATAGTCACACCTTTTGCACTCCACACAAATAGTCATACTATCCCTTTACAGGAAGTTACAGAACCAACCCCAGCATTTTTTGGCTGTTGTTTATGTAGGCAAGTTTACATCCAGTAGTTTGCCACTGCTTTCTGGGCGGTCGGCTTCTCGATACCACTATCGAAATCAATGCAAGGTCTGCAGCTGGAATCGAACTCAACACCCCGGCATTTCAAAGTGCGTTCACAACGCCGACGTCTACACAAATAGTCATACTTCTTGAACACTATGCAAATAGTCACACCTCTCGTATTCTAGTAACATCTCTTGCACACTACACACAGTCAAACCTCTTGCACTCTACGTCTCATCTCTTGCACACTACACACAGTCAAACCTCTTGCACTCTACATCTCATCTCTTGAACTCTAAACAAACAGCCACACCTGTTGCACAATACAGTCACACCTCTTGCACTCTATACAAACACTCACATCTCTTGCCCTCTATACAAACACTCACACCTCTTGCACTCTATACAAACACTCACACCTCTTGCACTCTATACAAACACTCACATCTCTTGCACTCTATACAAACACTCACATCTCTTGCCCTCTATACAAACACTCACATCTCTTGCACTCTATACAAACATTCACACCTCTTGCACTCTATACAAGCACTCACATCTCTTGCACTCTATACAAGCACTCACACCTCTTACACTCTATACAAGCACTCACATCTCTTGCACTTTACACAAACAGACACATTTCTCACTTTCCTCAGTTTATTGAAATATCACCACATGTAATATATGTCATACTGTATTTCAACAAATGAGATATAAATAAGCAACAATGTTCACAGTTGACAAAAGTGTACAAAACAGTCTCAGAATGAGAGAAAAACAAATAAAAGCTGCCATGTTAACATAATAGTTGATTCTATCATCATTCTTTCCCTTTCAATTATAAACTATTTAAATGACGGGCTATTTTCCTTTGAATTAAACGGAAATATACACTAATTCACGACACACTCATGTCCAAACAGCTGAAAACTGGAAAGGCATGGGAAACTGTTGGTCTCCCCCAAGAGCACGTTTTTGATTATGTTGGAAATATGGAAACATCCTAAGAAGTCAGTGAATGGGTGACTTCAACACTGATCTTCAGTCTGACTGACCTTATCTTCTTCTTCTTCGCGTTCACCAGCTGTACACTCTGGCGTAAAGTTCTGGTTGTTCGCCCACTTCTGGACTGCAGTCCTGCTCCAGAACCTGAGTGTTGAGTGTGCATCAGTTTCACAGATCTGATTCAATTGAATGTAGACTGCTGGTTCCTTGCCTCTCGGGCAGATGCACTCCGACTTCAAAGGAAGCTCCCCAGTTAGTCGACTCTTACAACATGCTTTTGGGGAGGCAGTGGGTCTATTCTTGTTTTCCCCACAATAGGGGGACTGACCTTATGAAAACTACTTGGCCAGTCCTGCCCAGTCGCATATCATATTATTCTCAGTTCTCAAGCTAAATTATGTAAATGTCCTATTTCTGGTGTGCTGGTTCATCACTATCTTGTGCCATCAGGGCTCACAGTCATCATGTGCAATCCTTTCAATATCATGGATGGTATCCTGCCCTGCCTATCTCGAACCCTTTAGTAAAAAGTAACCTTTTGTTTTAGGTTTCTGTTCTTATATCCTCAATCCATTTCTTTCCCCATTATAAGTGCCTGTTGGCGGCTCTCTGCTTGCTTCTCCTCAGGATGTGCCCAATACAGCACCACCTTGTTTGTCATTAACTGTTGATATCAGTGGCTGCCTGGGCATTCTTCTTATTTCTGTGCCTTTCTTCAATTCTCCATTTAATTATTAACAGTTTCCTCAGGTATTTATTTAGTGATTGTGGTTTTTCTATCTGTTATTCCTTGATGACTGCCATTCTATACTAATTTTAAACGCTCCCAATAAATGCTTTATTTGCCTGTACATAAAGCGTGTACATTTGACATCTACATCTAAATAACAACAGGATATAAAAAATGTACACATTTTTTAAAAACATTCTAGTTGTAAAATATCAAGTAAATATTCTGCTGAATATTTCTGTGTCCACACAACGTCGTTAAAGCGTCTATCCACTAAAACAAGTAGGTTATTACGCTGAATTATTCCGGGGACACTAAATGGCTTTATAATGTTGGCACACTACCAAACGTCTTTAGTGATCACTAGCTGTTTTCATACAGTCCGTCTGTAAAATAACGAGTAGGCGTATTGTCGAATCAGTGTTCGCGTAATGCCTTCATACTGACCTACTATACATTATGTAGGAGTTTTACCGAGTCAGCATTCCCTAATGTCTTTAAACAGTTCGCCTGTAAAATAACAAGTAGGCATTTTGCCGAATTTCCTCAGAGTTCAACTGAAACTCCATATTGACCTCCACCACATTTTGATCATCCATGCGGTACCAATGACCCCTGTCTTGGACGTAGCTAATATAGTGACCATGAGACGTGCTGTCTGCACCAAGGTGTAGGCACAGTCCATACAGTTCATAAACATACTTAGAATCCGAAACAGTCAAATCACCACGATGCATAACATTGTCGTAGATGACATCTCGTAAATTGAAATCACGTAAACGTACGCTGACTGCTGTAGTAACTTTAGTAGGGCGCTGAGCTAGGCTATCATACCGGAACCTCATTAATTGAATAATTAGGCATTCTGGCAGCTGGCGCAGTAGGCAGCGGCGCTGAATCTTTTCCTGTAGCTTTGAACCTGCGCTGTCTTTCCCAAGAGGTGTTGAGGTCTTAAATGTGTTGTCAAGGAAGCCACTATCATTGCCAGGATTGGCTCTGAGAAAAGTCTGGACAGGTGGTGACGTAGGTAATGTTTGCGGTGTGAATGTGTTGGCCGTGGATAATCCTGGATACATGGACGGATGAATTGGGGATAGCATGCAGGCCAAATCAGGCTCTTTAGAAAGTCGGAAATTCTGTGGGGTGGTAGGTGAGCCACCCAGAGCTTTCACATGAAGATTTCGATTTCTAAGGACACCTGACGCCACCTGTTGGTCACTTTTCATGACCACAGTATTAGAAGATGCCTCACTGATGTTCTCCACATGACAAAATCTAGCGAAGCAATCATCTAACATAACTAAGCCAGAGTAGCTATCTGGATAATCTATGGGCACAGGGAGGACGTTGAAAGTCTGCAGGTTGACAGAAATGCTGCCATGGTTGACGTCGTGGTAGGCCTCCACCAGCTGGCCTGTGAACAAACTGTCAATCAATGTGTCGTTTGTCTGTTTATAGATCAGCCACTCTAAATCACTGAGTCTTTGAATAGCTTCAGCATATGATTCATTCTCCAGGCCGTTAGCAGCAGCAATCTGTGGAGGTGTCAGAATGATTTGATTACGTTATAAATCACCCCCACCCCCCAACCTTAGTTGTCTCTAAGCACCAAAGACATCAGAGATGATATCTACTCCAGAAACACCCTCATGCCACTTGACCTGGTCTACTCTTGTTTACTTTCCTCTAGACCAAGGCTATTCAACTGGCAGCCCACAGAAGCTTAGCAACTGGCAGCCCACAGAAGCCTAGCAACTGGCAGCCCACAGAAGCCTAGCAACTGGCAGCCCACAGAAGCCTAGCAACTGGTAGCCCACAGAAGCCTAGCAACTGGCAGCCCACAGAAGCCTAGCAACTGGTAGCCCACAGAAGCCTAGCAACTGGCCCGTGAATCAGTGCCAGTTCATTGTATTAATGATCTTTCTAAGCTGGGGATTCAGCCTCTTGTTCATAATGATCCCAATATTCAACAGTAACCCCTGAGTAAACCTAGATAAATAGTCCTGCTCTGGACCCTATTGCGTGTGCTGTCTGGATAAGTAGAAATCCTTATAAGTGGAAGCATTTTCTTAGGTCACTGCGACTTCTACCTATCTAGACTCAACTGTACAACCATGCATACCCTTTCCACACAATAAATTAAACCCCTATAACATTAACACTAAATAAAGATAGGAAACTGATGAGTACAAATGTGGCACTGATAAAATAGCTAAAGATGATTTCTCTGAACAACATGCCCAAAAAAATCTTCAACGTGTGTGAATTTTTGTAACCAATTTATGGTGATCATATTTTGCTTCTTGTGCAACCCATGTTTTGTTTTCTTTCTGTATATAATTTTATTTGCCTCACATCCCACATTATCACTTCCATTAGAAGACTTTCAGCTTGTCTGCCTACTGTTAAACTATGAATACATAAATAATAAATAAAAATCAAGAATGGACACCACTGTACTAGGGACAACTATTTTTCCTAAACTTCAGCAGCCATTGAAGAATTCCTATACTCCAGGTGCCAGTTGCAACCTCATTAAAACTGTGCCCGTCATTTCCTTTATGCAGTGAAAATTGTCCAGGCCCCTTGGACAGTCCCTAGCTGGTTTAGTCTCTCCGGGCATGAATACTCTGCTGTTTTACACTATCCACTTGATCCCAGTCTTCAAGACAACACACTATTCAAATAAGAATAACTAATTTCTTAATCACCATAATTATGTGCCCTGCTGATAAGCATATGCAGTCTTGCTTCACCATATCACATGATCACAAGAACCACAAATCAGGTCAGTGCTCTCGCCTAACCCCATCGATGTGGATAAATCATCAATGTAGTTATCCTTTGCTTATCTCTTCCTATTAATTTTCTTATTACCTACAATAAACAAATTAATATTTCCCCCCAATCAATATATAACAAGAGCCACTTACGTCTTTCCTACACTGATTCCTCAGTTCCTGTACACGGTTCGGAGACAGGTCACCGTAGATCAGCTTTAGGCTTGCCAGTCTTGGGCTGGTAAACCCACAGTCATCTGTCGAATCTTTATAAAATAAACAATAAATGTTAGTTTAAACAATGTAGACATAAACATAACATTGCACAATTGATTGCCTGGCATATTCTGCTGTCTCTCGTCAGATCATTACTGCAGATTTAAATGAAAAAACAACACATCGCACAAAAGATGAATCCTTTGTGCAGAAATACATAATCTGGAGTAATGCATTTGAAGAGATACAGCAAAATATACCAGGCAATAAATTGTGCAATGTATTGTTTGTCCACATTATTTAGATTTACGATAAACCATTTTTTCAAAATACATGTGACATCAAATGACCAGTGAATTTATGGTAGACAATTTGCTATAGCATATAGTGGCAGAGTCATAGTGTCTTTGGTAACGTGATGAGATGAAAGGCAATCAAGAACATTACGGCACCTGGAAAGATTGGCGGTATAAGAGGCAGACAGAAAACAAATGATGCTGGATGGTGTAAGCGGGTGTCACGGAAAATGTCTTTAAGAACTAATCTAAAACAGCGAGGAAAGAGATGTGTAGAGAGAATGTTTGCACAATCTGGCAGGGTACATCATGACGAGGATTTCATCTACACTATACAAGCTGAGCAGTCTCCATTCTGAAAAAATTCCCCCCCCCCCCCCCCCCCCCCCCCCCCCCCCCCCCCCCCCCCCCCCCCCCGAGAGTGCAACATTTCACCAGCTCGGCCAGCCTCTTTCCCTTGTATACTTTCTTTAAAGTCTTCCAATGTATTAACGACACAGCTGCGATATATCCTAATTGCTGGGAAACATCAAAATTCTTCAGGCATTTGTTGACTGGGTTTGCCCTTCCTGTTCCAAAAGATTCTCAACCAATCAGTAGCAGCTTTATGCCCAATAAATTCATAGAAAAATAGACACTCGATGAGGCACTATTAGTTTACCTTTGGTCATCTCTGACTCATTTTCATAGTAAAAACTAAATATATTTTGAAAAAGAAAAAAAAATTACCACAGTACCTAGTCTCTGAACTACAAAACTAAACAAACAATCACAGTACCTAGTCTCTGAACTACAAAACTAAACAAACTATCACAGTACCTAGTCTCTGAACTACAAAACTAAACAAACTATATAATTGCAAACAGCGTTCCTACCAGCATCAAGAGCTCTTCGATTCTTGTTTAAAATCCCGTGCAAAACCGCTAGAAGCCACATGAGAAACTCTGCAGCGTCCTGCTGTTTCATATGTTGTCCTGGCGGCGTTACTAGCTGTGGGTTTAAATTAGAACAGGCCAGTCGAAATTTATTAACGGACAATGCCTTTTGTTGAGATTCATCGGGGGGAAGAGTCAAATGATCAAGCAGCTCTGTCAAGGACGATAACAGCTGAGATTCAAAGACAGTACATTCTAACTCTTTGGCTGCAATTGCCGTCAGGTTCTCCACTAGATAAGGACCTCGGGCTAAACACTGAACAACCGAGTTAATAAAGCAAACATTTTGTCCATAATTAACTAATCCAATTGGCCGTAAAGTTGTCGGGCCGTACCCTACCATACTCATTACCTTTGATTTTATAGAAGATGTTGAAGAAGGTTTTGAGAGAGCCCTCGTACTGATATTTGGATGAAGTGATCGCCTGGGTAAGTTCTGATCTGACCAAAGAAACTGGCGCCCATTTGAGTTAGTATTTTGTATTGTTGTGACAGTACTGTCATAAGCTGCATTTGTGACAGCTGGTAAGGCATGCTGGACATCAACAGCAGAGTAATTTGTTGCAGCAACATTGTTCCAGCTCCTGTTGTACGAAGTGTAGGCTCCCCGTGAATGCCTGATCCCATCTCTGTACAACCCAATACTTGGATTCAGAGAGTATACTGGTGTGTCTTGGCCAGGAACTACCGTAGCATTTGGGGGATAATGCAAAGCTGGCTGCTTAGTGAGAAACGGAAAACTTATCCCATAATTCTGCTCTGCATTCTGGCCCCCCAGGTTGTTGATGCCAGGTGTGGGGAAGTTTGGCATGCCCAGCGTCTGCTGCTGCTGCTGAAGATACTTCTGCTGCTCCAGCTGTTTCATGCTCTCCTCATGCTGAAGGTGGTTCTCCCAATGAGCTCGTAGGTCTGCTACAATGTTTGTCAAGTCCGTGCGACTGAGCAGCTGTGTGTACACAAATGTGATGCCGGTGAGGAGGATCAGCAGGTAGGGCATATGATGGAGCAGATAGACTAGGAAACATATTAAGCTTAGGCCTACAGATTCATACAGCCATATCGTCCGTTTTTCTCCATCAGTCCTGAAATTTCAAAGAAGAAAAATAGAATCTAAGATTAAATGTATCTTAATGTATACATAACTACAAACTATATTTACCGGGGACTGCAAAAATCACTTGTGCCTTTTATTTCCTGGCACAGAATTATTGGTGTTTAAATTTACTGCTTGCGGATTACAATGTTTTTGTTTACAACTCAATATTTGTATTGTATACTCTGTTATATGTTGAGAAAAAGATTCAGACTGGCTGAAATGTTCTTCTTCACTGTTCGTCCATGTTAAATAAATGAATTATGCCTATTTACAGCACAGCTGCCTTATGTGCACATTTTGGCCAACACAAGACTTTTTCAAGCATTTGTTAATCATGTTTGCCTGTTTGATCTGCTTCGTGGGACATTTGTAGCCTTATTTGTGTAGTGACTTGGTCATCCCATGATGCCCCTAGACTCTTGGGAAAGGCAGAAACCCCACCATCCAAGGAAGAGTCCCTAAATGCAGAGCTGATACACAGTGCTTTGGTACTGGGTTCATCCAAGGAATCAACAAGTCCTGCACCTGACGGCTTAACTTCACATCCATACACTGACTGTACCATCCACTCTTTACCGGCTTCAAGGATCCCTTTCAGGCAGTCTGCAGACTTGAGACTCAGACTCCCAGCATAAATGATGAGTATCTTCACTTCATGTTTAAGACCTCGCTTTGATGATGATCAAGATGGCACCTTTCACGTAGATTGGGTGGGAGGTGGCTGACGAGTGTCTGAGGATTTCTGGGCCTGCATGTATCTCTAGGGGCCACCAACTTTGAGATCCTCTGCCAATATCAGTCATTATCTCTAGCTCATGCGTGGCAGAATTCTTCAACTTGCGTCAGTGAGTATAAGCAAGAGCCTGCTGGTGAATGATTGAGGTACAGAGCTTCTCATACACATTACAACAACGGTCTTAACTTTCCCTACACCTGTGACCAAAATAACCATGCCAAGTTAGCACGTTCAGTGTAATTGTAGGTAGGATGATAAAATAAATATCCTGGTCGGTGCTTCCTTTCCCATAAGTGTTTCAAAATCAGATCTCGGCTATCCTCCGAAAAAAGGCCACATATTATGGCGGCCAAAAACAGGGCCTCAGCCACATGTTAATTGCAGACTTCCAGTGACTATTAGTATACCTCCACCGTCGAGAGTATCTCCCACGCCACTACATTAAATTGATGGGACTCACCAACAAAGCGGCAGGAGATGCGGAAGCTGTTGCTCATGAGTCCCAGCCATCTAGTTAAGATACTCGGAAGATACTCTTGGCTTTGGCGGTATAGTCGCCGGTCTACAATTTAAGTTGCCAAAAGTCCACAAATTACATGTGACTGACGCTCTGTCAAGGTGTGTTTTTGGCCACCATAATATGTGGCTGTTATTCGGAGGACGGCCCAGATCTCAGATATCATTTTTAATTTAATCAATACATTATATAAAAAGTAAAGCTAACAATGATGACTAACTATACTATTCAGACTATTCTAATAGTAATTCTACCCTAGTTCCCACAAGTCACAATTATTGTGACTTGTGGGAACTGGGGTAGAATTACTATTAGAATAGTGACAATACAATATAGACGTCTGGGACAAATTTAATATTAAGAATAATAAAAAGATTATAATTAATATTTTGAAAAACTGACTTACCATCTAAAAATGAATTAAATAAAATGTGCATCTAATTTTATTTCAATTGAATAGTATACATAACTATAACTTCGAATAAGAAACGTCGGCGGGCAAGAGTGCTATATATTATTATTATTTAATAATTCATCTTTCATCTCTATTGTCAGTAGTAGTAAAGCAGTTGTCAGGAAAGTCACTCACAAGGCCAGGATAAATTAACGACACACAGGACTTATTGAATGCAGGGATACCTTTAAATTTAACAATAATTCACAAATAATCTGCATAATCACACCAAGGGCAAAATTGTCAAAATAATTCAAACTCCACCACTTACGCTGCATCTCTGAGTGGGGACTTGACCACTGCGTCTACTAGAACAAACGTCACAAACTCCAGCCCGCCATAAGAGAGCGTCGTGTAAATCCAGCTGTCTGCCATTCTGAGTGCACAGAAAGCTATCTACTCTTCAATTTTCTAAACAATTTAATTCCATTAGTGCACTGTGCGTTGCATTCCCTCTGAAATTATCCCAGCGTAAGTACGTGGGATGGAGCGGGCGATGTTTGAATTGACTCCATTTTCAAAATGGCGGTCCTGGCAGAAACTGGGTCAGGCTCTGGGTCGCAGGCAGGGTTGCCAGATGAAAAACTGATTTTTATGCCAAACCATTACCCAAAATATGCTAGAAAATGCCAGATAAAGTAAAACATTGTACTCGCTTCACATCAAAAGCTATAGATTGAATTCTTCACTGTCATCCTCACTGGAACAAGTGGAAGACACGGCGTAAACCTTTTCGGACGTAAAATCTTTAAGCATTTTCTCAGATGGGATTCTTTGCAACTCATCTATAATGATGGAATATTTATTGTTCCGAAAATCACCAATAAGATCACCCTTAAGTGCAGGCGATAACATATTTTTTATTAGGCATGAACATTTTATATGCAACTGTATGTGCTCCAATGTACTATCCATGCGCTCTTATGATTTCACTTAGATGATCAATTGAGCGTATTGCACAATGGCAGTTTATGCCTACAGCAAGTTGCAACTCTGCTGCCTTTAACTTTATCATTACTTTGCCTAGGAGTTATTGTTGTAATAATCTGTGACTGGCTTTTTGACGGAGTTTTCATCCTGTGTTTATAGGATTTTTCATGATTTAATTTGCTACTAATTCTTGGTGCAACAGTGCACTGACACAGTTTACAATAGTCTGCTTCTGATCCTTCTGAAGATCTTTTGAGCCGTGGGTATGTTTTCTTACTTTTACTATTATACTTGCGATGTCTTAAGATGCTTTCCGTTTTTTTTTTTTTTTTTTGATGACGTGACCATTGGTAAAAGTAATATCTAACACAGATAGAACTAGGTCTATATCCTCTCTATTTTTTGTCCTTAAGTAGTTTCTGAACAGTCTGAATCAATTGGTATCAGTTGTGGGTTTTGGTTTTATATCCTGAATTTATTCTAGTAGATTAACATAAATTACAGAGGGCCTGGGTTTATCGAAGTCACAATCCGTTTAGGAGACAACAAATACAATAAGAAATGGCGCGAATCACAGTTAGTCCGTACCAGGACATCACAACAAAGTCAAACTGAAATAAAGATGTTAACTGTAGATCTAAATTAATTTTAGCAAATCTAAAGGTTTCTAACGGAGGAACCATGAAGCAAATGTGAGCACATCTTGATAAGAAAAGCCAGGAAAAGCCAAAATATGCCAGTTGATTATCTTATGTCAGTTCAATTTCAAATATGCCAGATTTGTGGAATCTGGCATAAAAAATGCCAATATGGCAACCCTGCTGGGTCGGCGTTTGGTTTCTATAAACATGGATGGGAATTTGTTCTCTTTCTTTCATCAGACTATGTGCCGTGCCGATACAGCACACGCGGCTATTTTTTTTTTTTTTTTAAGAGCGGCAGGTCGAACAATTTGAATGCATAGCTTTCACGAGGGACATCCGAGTTCGCACTCTCCTTAAGGCTATGGGCATATTTTTTGTTAGGGACAAAACTAAAACCGTAACCTGCACAGGCCATGGCGCCAGCACCAGCCATGCGGTCCCTAATCTTGAGGCCAAGGACAGGACAGCCCCCCCCCCCTCTCCCCCCGTTTTTTTTTAACCTTAACCACAAAATTGGTAACAACGACCAGTTAAAAAAAAAAGTTATAGTTGCGTATATTTTACAGGGCGTTGCAGAGCCAACCTCAGCAATTGCTGTTGTGATTTTTCTAGGTACATTGGTGTAGCACGAGCAGAAATAAACAGAGAATCACAAAACAGTCACTGAGCTGTGAACCAAATATTCTACCATTTTCCCGATTACCAGAATCGTGGATAAGGTCAGTGTTGCTCGTCTCGCCCCCACAGAGGGATTGTCTTTACTAGGGGAAAAAAGTGCTGGTACTCACGAAAAAGTGTTTTAGAATGTTGCCAGCGATCTCTTCAAAGTGTTTGTTACATAGTGACGAAAAACAATGCCTAAAAAGGTGACGGTACAGGGTACCGTTGCGTACTACCTGGAAAAAAAAAAACTTGCCCAAAGGTCAAATCGCAACTCATTATACTATCAGTGGTAAGTAATGAATTCCAGCACAAAAGAGTAAACGAAAATTAATCACAGCTCACACAAAAATGTACAAGTATTCGAAATCTTAAGTGCTTTCCAGTACTTGCACATTTTTGTGTGAGCTGTGATTAATTTTCGTTTACTCTTTCGTGCTGAAATTTATTACTTTCCACTGATAGTATAATGAGTTGCGATTTGACCTCCGCTGTTAGCAGATCAGATAGACTTGCCTTTGTCAATCGATTTAATAACATTATAGACACAGTAAATGAAGCATGCCCTACAATATTGTCCAACACTTTGCTAGCCATACAGAAGAAATCTGGCTCACGGAGCGATCCTACAAGACAAACTATGAAGCACCAGTGAAAAATTAAAAGCAGTTCTCTAGGAAGCTGCCTGACTGACTGACTGACTTTCTACCCCACCAGGACATCACACAAGCGATAAACACCCGATGACACAAGTGCCACCATGCGGGTGAGGATCACCGTGGAGAGGTCCCAGAAACCGCGTTCAGCCTTTAGGCCATATTTATGGCCAGGCTATATTGCGGCCCCGGGCAAAAGCCAGAGTTGGGCTTCAAACAACCAAAAATGTCATCCTAAAAAGGACGGGAGTTATGTCTAGGAAGCTAAAGGAACCTAAGCCTGATTTAAGTGCGTAAATTATTCACATATACACACAGTATATATATATATATATATATATATATATATATATATTATATATTATTCGACATTTGCTTCGTTAATATAAATTTCTGTAACCTATGGTGCCATTTCAATGGGTTGAAATGAATTCTGACCGTATTCCATAGTCGTGGATTTCAAGCTGTACGATAGACATGGCCAATCAGACACCTTTTTTTGGTGCACTTGTATTCATGGAGAGGCGCAGACGCCGTCTGGAGGTGACAGGTTCAATTCCCGGAACGGTAACTATAGCTTTTGATTTTTATGTTGTCTAGTGTGTTCTTCTATCTTTCTACTTCTTTCTATGAGTGCCGTTCACAATACTTTCTGTTACTTGATTAGTCCATCGCAGTGTGTGCAGAAATCACTATTCGTATTCGGCCCGACCGCCACTATTCGGCCGAATAGCTGTTAGGTCCACTAGTCGGCCCCGAAGCAAATACGAAGCGAATTTCGGTACAGCCCTAATATATATAATATGCTGAATGGAAGATAAATATATTTCAAATAATATGAACTGTATAAACAGATAGACTGTATTTGAAAAGAGAACGTACATACATAGTTAGGAGGTAACAATAGTTAGAGCTTTATTTTTCTAAAAAAATAGGTGCCGGTACTCACCATAAAGTGTCTGAAAAGTGCCGGTACTCAACATAAAGTGTCTGGAAAGTGCCAGTACTCCCCATAAAGTCTTTTCTTCTGCTACTGCTTCTTTGCCTTCACCACCTGTAAAGTCTTGCTTGTTGGTCAATGTCTGGACTTTAGTCCACATCTATTTTACAGATTTGGTCTATTTATAAGCAGACTGTTGGTTCTTAACATTTCAGGCGGTAGCCCCCCCCCCCCCACCCCCCATTAGTCGGCTGTTATGACATGCCTGTTATGTTAGGGGCAGTGATTCTTCTCACCCCATCCCCCCCCACACACACACACACCCACACACACAATGGCCCAGAGCTCACGCAGGGAGCAAAGTGTTTATTACAGTAGCTCTGAAGAAACATTATGTTCAAAGTAGGTGCCAACACTGGGGACCGTCAGGACATAGAACAAAGCCAGGACAACTGATCCTTTCCTTTATTTCAGAATCACCATCGACAATTGGCCCTTGTTTCAGCACATCCTCCTTCCAAGAAAGCACGTTCTGTACAGTTTTACATTAACGCTGTTTTAATTTTTTTTTTTTGGGGTGTGGACAAGTCTATCGTAATCATGCGATAAGATGTTGATGTCATTTCAATTACGTAATATCTCGTTGATGGTTAGCGGGGTAGGGGTATCCCCTATCAAAGGAGAAGTAAGACGCCTCCTTTCCTCCGCTAGTCTACGGGACACCCTTGGGCAAGGTGGAGGACCCGTTTAGCCCCCCCAATCAGGGTTACGTGAAGCCATGGAAGCAGGTGGTGGATGGAGTGTAAGAGCAGCCGACAGGTATTGTTGGTTATGGTCTGCACTCTGCGGCGATAGGCAGATGATCTCATCAGTAGAGACAATGGCTATGGCCACCGACTAGTATAGTCACTGCTCAGGAGGAAAGCAACGGCAAACTACCTTCTGCAAATTTTGCCAAGAATCCATAACAATCATGAAAGAAAACATAACACAGAAGAGATCTGGTGGCGAGACCCCCAGGCCAGGCAGATCAGATATAGGAAGGTTTTCCGGAGGGTTGTTATAGCAGCGAGGTTCCGCGAGGGACATGCTACTGAATGAATGAATGAATATCTCGTTGTATCGATCATACTTTTTATAAGACATTAATTAGACATATAAATTATGTTCCACTGTAATTTTGTGAAAAAGTTTCTCTTTTTCTTTTTGCTTTTTGCCAAATTGAGTTTGGCAACAGTCGAAGCGCTGACCCAGTTAAAAAAAAAAATATTAGACACTGTTGCTTAGGATCCCTCACAGTCGCCGGCGATAGTTGCGTTTGTAAATAGACTCGGAAGCCGGAGAGCAAATATTTTGGGAAGAAGAAGAAGAAGAAGAAGAAGAAGAAGAAGAAGAAGAAGAAGAAGAAGAAGAAGAAGAAGAAGAAGAAGAAGAAGAAGAAGAAGAAGAAGAAGAAGAAGAAGAAGAAGAAGAAGAAGAAGAAGAAGAAGAAGAAGAAGAAGAAGAAAGGAAGAAAAAGAAGAAGAAGAAGAAGAAAAAGAAGAA